TGACTGTTGGAGATATTCCATGTAATGTAGTGTGTGACTGTCGGAAATATTCCATGTAATGTAATGTCTGTCGGTCAGAAATATATACTAAACAACAAAAGTTCCTGTGACATTGAATAAGATTCAATGCAAAGTTATGTTTTTTACCAAATCTGAAACAATTTCGGTTTGCAACAGATAAATGACTCCTGTAAGTGTTCAAATGGTTTAATTTGCCATACTGACTTCAGAAAATGAGTGATTTCATAAAAAAACATGGAACATGCCAAAATGTAAATTTACAAATAAATAGCGTGTGTCCACCTCTGGTTGCGATGCAAGCAGCACATCTTCGTCTCATGGAATGGACAAGGCGTCTCACAAAGTCCTGTGGGATATATCTGTCCATATCTGCTGGAGCATGCTTCGAAGTTCCTGGAGTGTCTGTGGAACACGTGGCTGTCGAAGGCGCTGATCCATCTCATCCCACGTGTGCTCGATTGGTGAGAGATCAGGGGAGCGAGCCGGCCAGGGGATGACATTCACATTGTTTTGTTGAAGAGAATCCTGAACAAGTCGAGCAATATGAGGCCGGGCGTTGTCATGTTGAAAGGTAATACCTAGGCCATGACGATGCAAAAACGGTCGAATAACAGGGCCGATGATCTCGTTGCGGTAGCGCTGTCCATTGAGATTTCCCTCTACCACTATCAAACGGGTCCTCTGTCTTGCTATAATCCCACCCCATACCATAAAGCTGCCGCCCCCGAACCGATCTTCTCCCATGACACATTGATTGGCGTAACGTTCACCTCGACGTCGGCACACTCGAATCCGTCCATCGCTGTTGCTGAGGTGAAAACGAGACTCGTCGGTGAATAGAACTTGTCCCCACTGCATGGCCGTCCAGAGTAGACGCTGTCTGCACCACTGAAGACGTGCTTGACGGTGGTTTCCTGTCAAAATGGGACTTCTGGCGACAATCCCTGCACATCTGAGGCGACGACATACGGTTTGTAAAGATATTCGTCGAAGGCCGGGGATGCTTCTTGCAGTCACTGTTGCTGGCTGGAATCGATTTCGTAGGTGTGTTGTTCGAATCCAGTTGTCTTGTCAATTATTGGTTACGCGTGGCCTGCCACTCCGAGGATGGTCTCTGACTGTATTCGTCTGTTGCCAACGTTGCCATAAACACGAAATAGTGTTTCTGTGGACTTAAAATTGTCTTGCAACATCACGTTGACCCGATCCTACTTCAAGCATACCAATGGCTCGCAGACGCTCATTTTCGGTCAGGCGTAGCATTTTGTTATGTTGAATAATTGCGTAAATTTGCTGTTTTTCTGAGTGGTTGTTGTCAGCACGATACTAAACAATGCATATGGAATCCCGTTAACGCAAGTTTTTATACCCATTCTTGGGTAGTGAAATGCATGGGGCTTGCATAAAGGTCAACTTTTGCATGGAATGCATGCTTTTCTGTAGCAGTTGCGTTTTTGTGACTTGATTCCATACATGTTGTATGGAATATTGAAAACCAAACTTTACTTATTTGAAAGTACACCAAAATATTGGTGTCACAGGAACTTTTGTTGTTGAGTATATGTTTCCGCTTCCATTTCTTAGTCTACTGATTTTGTTGAAACAACTTGCAATAAGAAATAAATCTTATGGTTGACTTTTGATGTCTTTTTCACACAAAATTAACTTTTGGTATTAATGATAACAGAATTCCTTCAGTTAAACAGGATGTGTTTTACTAGCTGTTTTTCTTAAAACCAAACTCTCCAACAATGAATCATGGTGATATTCTCTGAAAATTTTGATTCATCATTTTTGCATGACATCTGATGAAATATGTTATATTCATAGATGAAAACCATATCTATAGATTGTTTTAAATTCTGGTGGCCATGACTTTCTACAAAAGTCAACTGAAGTTTATTCAATCTGAGACCATGTCTAAGAGGTAGTTTGTTGGTGAATATCATTTCAATTTACTAGGATCATAAGTGTATGTATACTTATTTCACTGGTGGTGACTATGGTCTTCAATCTGATTTCACTTTCAACAAAGGTCAACTGAAGTTTATTCAATCTGAGACCATGTCTAAGAGGTAGTTTGTTGGTGAATATCATTTCAATTTACTAGGATCATAAGTGTATGTATACTTATTTCACTGGTGGTGACTATGGTCTTCAATCTGATTTCACTTTCAACAAAGGTCAACTGAAGTTTATTCAATCTGAGACCATGTCTAAGAGGTAGTTTGTTGGTGAATATCATTTCAATTTACTAGGATCATAAGTGTATGTATACTTATTTCACTGGTAGTGACTATGTTCTTCAATCTGATTTCACACAGTACATTTTAGACAACTGCCATGGTGGCCATTGTACATGTCCACCATGTATTGCATGATCTTCCACAGATCGGAGTCTGGTCTAAATCCCAGAATATATTTGATTGTTGTCTACATTTTTCTCTACATAGAGCTCTATGGATTGAGGTTCCAGTGGATGCAAGATGCAAGGATGTCAGCAGCTTCCAGTCAACCCCCAACAGCACTCTTCAAAAGAACATACGACTTATCACTATTGAGCAGGGACTATCTAGATAGGATGCTCTATAAAAAATCGATAATTTATTATTAACTTATTATAATTCAAGTTTAGTTGTCCATTTTGGGGATTTCCAGTACCTCAGGCCTTCCGTAAGAGCTACCTAGGTAAGGTGAAATAAGGTTTAACATCGCAGTCAAGATTATTGCACTTATACAGAGATGGGCTAACTACACTGAGTGGTCAGGCTCCGTGTCCGTGACTTGGTTGATGCAACCAACCACTGTTTGTCTGGTCCCGACTTGAGGTGAGGTGAAATTGGGTTTAACGTCGCGTCGAAGATTATTGTACTTATATAGCGACGTGCATGCACGTGTATGTGTGTGTGTGGCTGCTTGTACTAGTCCGGACTGATGCCGATTTATAGTGCTAGCTCACTGAGATACCATGCCGCAGTTTAACATGAATACCCCACTCAGACACAGTATACTGACTCCGAGCCGACCAGTCCTTGTTTTAGCCCCTTAATGCCGAGCGCCAGACAGGGTAACAACAAGTACAATCTTTTAACGTCTTTTTGTATGACGCGGCCCGGGATCGAACCCTGGACCTTCCGCTCTACCACAAGACCACGGAGGCGGTATTGGTCCCGACTTGACTGATTACCGGCTGCTGTGATCTAGCGGGAATACAGCTGATTGTGGCCGCGAAATATAACTAACATTGAGATGTTCTCAACAGTGTAGCATTGAACATTTCACGATGACTGAAATGTCATGTCACAATACAAATAAGGCAAATGTGTATAAGCTATGATGATTTATTCGTGTATGACAAAGACACATGCACTCATTCATATCATACATTCTACAGTATCGATCTAATGGCATGGATGTTGAATGAGATAACCCCAAAATACAAGAAATCAGTAAAACTGGGGAACACAATCAGATGTGACATGCTCAGCATTAGACTGAGATAACTTGAACTGAGTGGATATTAATCTCTTAAGCATCAAACAGTGTTCATGATCTTGTCAATCAAACTTGGCAGCGTTAGAAATTGGCACTAGTCCTGTAGTCCTTGCCAAAATGCCCAATAGTTAAGGTATCATAAGGACTAGTAGAAATTTGCCATTTTTAAGGGGTTTGCTATATGTTATCATTATAAGGACTAGTGGGCTAAAACTGTTAGTTTCTACTGCTGCTTGGCTGTGACGAAGAGTCCATAATCTGGTCTCCAACATCTGCAATTCTACATGTTGTTCATGACGTGATGCAGGACACACTATCCGGCCAAAGATATCACAATCCGTCTGCACACAGCTTGCCTCTTATTTTGTCCGTAACCAGCTGGTAATCGGGGGATGTAGCCAGTGGATGCTTATCAGGATGTCATCAAGATCTATGGACTATGGCTACATAACAGATCTAGATCATTTGAGTAAGAGTTTAACATTAGCCATTTTGTCCTTTAGTGTGTCCTTTGTCATGTAATCACTGAATGGAGTGAAAAATCTAGTAACAGATACACAGTGTGCCATGGTGTTTGGACGATTCAGGTGTATTACCTAGATAACAACAATCTATGAACATTGGTGTCATATTACAATGAAACCATGTTACTCCAGACAGAGCTGGCCGTTCACAGTGAAATCATTTGGATTAACAGTGAGTATGGTTTTACGCATCTTCCCGAGGCAAGAGAGTCAACTGACTATAAAAGTCCAGTTTTCACCCTTGCCGAACTAGGCTGGTATTATGGAGTTACAATTTGGCTGGACTAACGAGTCTATGCATAGTCCAATCAAAATCGCCCACCGAAATCGAAATCCTGTTTGTAAACTGTCGTGCAGATTTCGGTCGATTGCAGGATTTGCAAAGCATGTGCACCGCCAACTCTTTGTCAACAGATATTTTCAAAATCTTTTCATGTTTTTAATCAAGGTGCAAGTAATACGACAGGTGGAATCTGATTGGTCCATAGGAGAGGCTTAGAAGGGACATAACTGGTAATAGCCACTGGTAGCGCTACGACCAAGCCCAGGAATTCCAGCCTTGTTCGGCAAGGGTGGAAACTGGACTTTTAAAGTCAGTTAACTATCTTGCCTTGGGAAGATGGGTTTTACCCCGCCTATAGCAATATTCCAACAATATCACGGAGTGGGACACCAGAAATTGTCTTCACACATTGTACCCATGTCAGGAATCAAACCCAGGGCTTCGGCGTGACGAGCGAAAGCTTTAACCACTAGGCTACCCGATCCCCCCCTTTGGATTAACAAGTTTCTGGATCAACAAATCACATGCATGTAGTAATGTTTCTGTGATTACATAAGCATTCCAAACAATCCCCTGGATGTGGAGACTTCCGGACAAACCCGGTCTGGATTAACAAGGTTTCGCTGTGTTAACAGATCATTTGTTTTTGTACACAGCTGTGTTTTTTGGAAAAAAAGTGCGCACTATACTCAAGACAATATGGTATTGATTTAACTGATGTTTTATAATTACATACGCTCAAATAGAATCCAGGCAAAGAATGCCACCTTGTTTCATGGCCAGGTAAAAAACCAGACATTTGATTCAATAATAATATATCCCTTTCTCCAAAACATTTAAATAAAACCACCCCAAACACAATATATTATCTATGTGATATATATTGGGACAAATCCCTTTCAACATATATACTCACCGCAGAAAGAAATGTGAAACATAAAACATATAGAGAAGAACGTACGTTAAGAGAAGATGTTTCCAATGTGTACCACTTAATGAGAATCAGTCAAGTGTTAGCACAGTGTCTTTATTCTTATCACAATATGTTGCATGAGATTTCCAAACATACTAATCCTGCGCGAGTCAAATGGTGCATCTCCAGTCACGGATAGGTGACGTCACATGTGATGCGTTGAGTGTCGGTTCACACAACATATAAGTATGTTTGTTTGTGCATTAAACCAATCTAATATCTCTTGAATATCAGTAATTCTTCATATAGTAACCAACATATATGTTTCTCACATTTCTTTTGTCGGTGTGTACAGTACATAGGTTTGGGGAGCTTTTGAGACCGATACCTGTGGATGAAAAAGTCTCATGAATATTTTCCAAGGGAGATAACTCTTTCCATAAGTGTTCTTGCACACACAAACACACAATGTTGTGGAGTGATCACTTAAGAAACACTGACCAGGGCCGATTTGCACAAAGTAATCTTGGAGTGAGGACAATAACAAATCCGTCATGGGGATCAATGTCTTGATGGCTTTGTGCAAGTGAACCCAGGAATGTCCAGTAGCAGACGTCTAGGTCACTCAAGGTCATCCTCTTCCAGGGTAGATACCTCGGGACCACCAGTGGGCACACCGCCAGACAGACGCTGAAGAGGAACATATATGTCAGGAGACAGCTGAAGCAGAGTTACTGGGAGCTATGAGTGATGAAAATATACCACATTTAAGGAGGATAAGTGATAATAGAAGGGAAAGCCAGTCTGTAGTTACCTGCTGGAATTCGGCGCTGCAATTCTTGTTTATGGGAACTTACATTTTAACCTCATTGGTCATGAAAGGTAAATCACCAGACTGGGGAGAAAGTGCTGATCTCACTTGACTGGGGGAGGAGGGGAAGACCTGCTGTCACCTGACTGAGGGGGAATATTGTCCTCACCTGACTGAGGGGTAAAATTATCGTAACCTGACTGAGGGGGAATATTGTCCCAACCTGACTGAAGGGGAAGACCTGCTATCACCTGACTGAGGGGGAATATTGTCCTCACTGACTGAGGGGGAATATTGTCCTCACCCGACTGAGGGGGAATATTGTCCCAACCTGACTGGAGGGAAATATTATCCTCACCTGACTGAGGGGGAGGAATTGTTCTCACATGAGGGGGAATATTGTCCTCGCCTGGCTGAGGGGGAGGAATTGTTCTCACCTGAGGGGGAATATTGTCCCTACCTGACTGAGGGGAATATTGTCCTCACCTGACTGAGGGGGAAAATTATCCTAACCTGACTGAGGGGGAATATTGTCCCCACCTGACTGAGGGGGAATATTGTCCTCACCTGACTGAGGGGGAATATTGTCCCCACCTGACTGAGGGGGAATATTGTCCCCACCTGACTGAGGGGGGAATATTATCCTCATCTGACTGAGGGGGAATATTGTCCCCACCTGACTGAAGGGGAATAATATCTTCACCTGACTGAGGGGGAATATTGTCCTCACCTGACTGAGGGGAATATTATCTTCACCTGACTGAAGGGGAATATTATCCTCACCTGACTGAGGGGGAATATTGTCCCCACCTGACTGAGGGGGAATATTGTCCTCATCTGACTGAGGGGGAATATTGTCCCCACCTGACTGAAGGGGAATATTATCTTCACCTGACTGAAGGGGAATATTGTCCCCACCTGACTGAAGGGGAATATTATCTTCACCTGACTGGAGGGGAATATTATCCTCACCTGACTGAGGGGGAATATTATCCCCACCTGACTGAGGGGAAAGAATTGTTCTCACCTGAGGGGGAAAATTGTCCCCACCTGACTGGAGGGGAGTATTGTCCTCGCCTGGCTGAGGGGGAGGAATTGTTCTCACCTGAGGGGGAATATTGTTCACACCTGACTGAGGGGGGCGTATTGTTCTCACCTGACTGACTGACGGGAGTCGCTGCACCAGGAGCTGGAACACCTGAGGGGGGAGGGTCTGCTGTAAGACCTGCAGCAGTTGCTGGGGCTGCCCACAGACGGCCACGGCGGTGCTCAGGTGCTCCACGCCACCCTCCATGTCACCTGCAACACGTCACACTCATTGAATCCATTCTGCACAATCAGTAAAACATTATCCAACACAGGAATGATCTTGGTTGCCTTTACATCCAACACAATGGTAGTTACTACTCTGCATATAGTGATGCTGTTATGAGACTGATAGGGGGAGAAAATACCACAACCTTTGAAATCTGAATGTTTGTTGACTATGAAACACTCATTTGTATCATGAACTACATTGTGCTTCTTCAATAAATATTACTGTCAGAATATGTCTATTTTCTGTCTATTTTCACCCTTTCTCCATCGTTTCTCCATCCAATTTTGTCCCTTGTAACTCCTGTTAGAGGCTACAGTGTCTTTTAGTAAATATATGTTGTACCGTATTTTCTTGAGTATAGTGAACACTTTTTTCTTCACTTTTAACATAGGGAATATGACAATGACTTTGGACTTTCATGCTTAATCTTGCCACTGCCACTGTTTCTGTTGGCTGAGTGTAAGCTGTGAAACTGAGTCTACTGATCTTGGCCATACTGACCACGACCAACATGTACAAACAAACAGTTTTGAAAAGGTCCAAATATAACGTTAAGAAATACATACGATAATTATTCTTTTCCATGACAACGGGCAAGTTTTGTTCATATTTGCATAAAGCTGTGAACAATAACCATGTCTTTTCTTATCGCCCATATAAAACTTGAGAAAAGCAGAATTGTTTGTCACAAATTAGGTCCATACTTGGAAAATCTTGAAGAATACTGATATAAATAGAATAACTTTGAACTACACACCAAAGGTGTTGATAGAATGTGTGAAATACAACTGTTCTGTACAATATATCTGAGGGCTAGTGTTTCACATAAAATAAATCTTACATCATTGTAAATATGATTTAAAAATGTCGTCTCTCGTCAGTCTTTTGAGAGGCTACAGTGTTATACGCATTGTCTCTATGCAATCAACAATGTTTCAGTCTTACTGCAACAACATTAAGATGATCTATTCAAGGAAGTTAGTGGCCCATAGCATAAACAATGATCTATTCAGGGAAGTTAGTGGTCCATAGCATAAGCAATG